GTTCACCAAGCATATACTTTTGCTAGCAGATTTAAATACAGGAACTAATGATGATTTACCAAGGAAAACAATCTAAATAAACACGTCATTTTTTTCCCTTGACTTGATAATTTTAAATACCAAATATAATTCAAAGACCTAAATGTGCTATATGATGGAGACTTGAATTGGGATACAGAATTGACCCCAAAAGACCAGTCATGCTAACTAAAAACAGAATAACACAATAGCAAATATTCTAGGTTAATGAAAAAATGAGAAGTAATGTTGTGTAATCATATATTCGAACCTCACTCAGTCCTTGAGCAGCGCCAGAGCGCTCAACATTGCTATTATCAGATTTAAGAGTGTCAAACAACCATGGAAGAAGATCTGGAAAGTTTTCCTCTCCCATTCCTCTGATGAGGGATCCAACAGCTCTTGCTGCAACAGACCGAACTTCTGGGATTGGATCCACAAGAACCTGTTCATGTTTTGAATATGAAATAATAAGGGATTACAATGAAACAAGAAGTTAATAAGCCTGTATATGTAACTACTACAAACCCAAAAAAAAAATTTAAGAAGAGGGACCTTTTTAACTTCAGGGAGGAGCAACCCTATATAAGGAATCATATCCTTTGGTTCTGTAACTAAAGAACACATATTTCCAACTATTTGGGCAGCTTTCTTTTTAGTCTCAGCACTCCTTTCTCTTAGACCTCTGTGCACTATTGGTACTAGCAAAGCAAGGGAAGGAGCATCTACTGAATTAACAAAAGTTGTCTGCAAGAAACCAAAAAAGAAATAAGGAAACAAAATAAAAAAAGGAACGAAAATGTAATACCGAGAACAATTTAAAGCACACATTCCTTACTTGAAGGAGAATATCAAGAGAGTATTTTGTATAGTCATTGGGATCTGAAAGAGCCATCAGAAGAGTAGGTACGAGAGAAGAAATTTCTGGATTCTTTATCACACTTCCAACCTGAGAAAGTGACTAAATTTATTAGGAGAAGAAAAAAATCAATAAGACCTGATGGAAACAATAGCAACACAGATTGTAACCTGCTGCAGGGCCATCTGCCCAGCTGACTGTACTTTGGGATGTGTATCTGTTAAAACCTGTAGTTTGAACAAAGATTTTAGAAGTTCAGAGTTCAGAGAGCCTCAGTTAGCAACCAAAAGTAAAGAGTAAGCAGCGTGCATAACAATATACCTCTGTCAATTTTGGCACAATCTTAGGGAGGCATTGCGAGAGCTGCTGAGGAGCACAATAGGCCATAGCACCAAGTAGCTGTACACTGCTTTGCTTCGTTCTCCAAGCTTTATCTTCAAGGCCCTGCCGGAATATGTGCTCATGAAACATTTTATGGATGTAAATGACACACAGGATATCGACAAGGACAATTTCAGAAATAAGCCAAAAGAATTAGTATGGTTAGGAGAGGAAGAAACTCGCAGCATTTGTCTTACTCTCCACTTTGAGTAACAATGAAAGAGGAACTAGAGAGTTCCAAAGGGAAAAAGAAAAAGCACCACAATCAATAAGAAATACTTGGCTGCATAACCATATATTTTTAGTCCAGTCATTCAACAAACCTAGGTTCTTCTAGATTTCATAGATCTTTTGATGTAAAGGTTAGTTCACATACGATATGTAGATTAACAACTAAATTTTAGTCCAGTCATTCAACACACCTAGGTTCTTCCAGATTTCATAGATATTTTCACGTAAAAACTTAGTTGTTAGTCTACACCTTGTCTATCGGCAGCACCCTGACGCATTTTCAAAAAGTTTTCATGCTATATGTTGGAAAAGAATTGACTTTAGTAAAATACAAAAACTATGCAAAATTCATCCAGTTTCTAAGCATAACTCATAAAATTGGCAAAGCTTGACCTTAAATCTAACTAATTATAATAAGCCATCATCCCAAAGCGTAGAGGAAACTAATGTCATTAAGTACTGAACCTATTACCTTTAACAGAGATGGAAGGACAAGCTTAACTCCTTGTGCACTAAGTTGGGACATCATTGCACGAGCAGCACATTCAGCAGCTTCACGAACAGCGACAACTTGGTCAGAGAAAGACACTAAAAGCATGGGAAGCATTTGAATCACGTACCTGAACCAAAAGAATGAAGGAAAAAATTAGCTAAATAAATCATATAGTAAGCTTCTATGTCAAGGATCTCACTTTTTTACTAGAATAACCATCTACTTACGGCTCAAATAATCTTCCGAGCTTTTCACAGAGGCACTCAAATGCCAGTAAAGCTCCTTCACGTCTTTTCGCAGAATTTCTATAAAAAAGAGAAAAAACAATGTGCATCATTTAGTTGTTCAAATTTGACTCAGCCAGATAGGGTTCTACAGTAAGGAGCAGAGATGATAAAATATCAACCGAAAATAAGTTGATGAAAAAATCAAAGTTCAAATAACTAAGCTCAATTTGAATGAAAAGAAAAAAAATAAAAATTCAGAATAATAGTAGCTCAAGCTAGATAATCATATAACAAATTTACATGAAGCAAAAGTGTACCAGCTCAAATCAATTCTATGTTGTGTAGAGTGTTTTGAGATTTCATTATATAGAATATTATATATTATGGTTAAGCAGCCATGGAACAAACTTTCACTACCATTCTTTCGTACATGAGCTGTCCCCCATTTTTGCTTTGCGAATGTTATTCTTCCTTTTTCCTTTAAAAGTTGGAACTTAAAAAAAAGCTTATTCATCACAAGGTTCCTCACTTTTCCAGAAATATTCACATGCATATTTTAGTGACATATTCTTAGGTCTGTACATCAGAAAGACAAAAAATCAATAAAGTCTCTTATGTGATGAAAAATGCATATTGATACCAGTAGATGGTAACCCTCATACCTATCAGCAAGGCCATCTCGTAATGCAGCCACTATCCCATAATTCTTCAAGCAAGAAAGTCCAAACCCCCTCACTACTCCAGCAAGTCCAAAAGCAGCTCCTCGGCGTTCACCATATTTGTCACTTTTCATCAGTTGATCCAACAATCTAGAAACAAGTGCCATTGCATCCTCCTAATGAAAGAAATTAAGATGTTAAAACTGTCACTAACACCAGCACAAGGGACACAAATACTCGAAATTCGCTTTTTCTTTCACTTCCAATGCAAGAATTAATTCATGCTCTGCCTTACTGTTTTACAACTCAAGCATAATTCCGAAATGCATTTTCAGACGAAACTAAATCAAAAGAGAAAAGTAGTACAATTCAGACGAATATGTCCATCATTTGCCACATAATACATACTTGCTTTGATTGCATAAGTGGAGAGAGGCAAGTTGAAACTGCACGTTGCACAGCTTCTGAAGGAGTGTTTAAGACATCTAACAACTTCTCCACAACAGCGTGTACTTTTGGATCATCCTGTTTTTATTTTAAACAAGAAACTTTAGGATCATCCTGTTAGGATGTGAAGTTGTCAAAATAAATAAGAAAAACACAGGCTTATTTCCAAGAAAAATTAAGGAAAAAACATACACTACCTTTTTCAAGTGCTTTGCTAGAGCTCCAGTGAAAATAACAACACCTTCACGAACCAAATCGTATTTTTCTTCATCCGATGCCTAAGTAAAAGAAAATTTTCAATAAATATAATATGGACCATGTCCCAGCAACATTTATACGAGAAGATGGTATTACTGCAAGTCGATACAAAGAATAGAAAAAGGATACAAAAACTGAGGAAGGAAGTATTTCTAGTCTAGGAGGGAGATTGACCTTCTTATTTAAGTAATTCTCAAAAATCGGAAATAATAAGGACACATTTTCTCTGCCATGCTTATCAATAATCATAATACCAGCATTAATCATCCTTCCACGAACATCTGCATTGGGATCAGCCTGCAACATCACAGTATTCAGAGACTTAAAAGGAAACTTTCTGGCTTCTTGTTTATACTCATTTTAAAAGGAATAATGTCCCAAGCTTAAAAGGTGTCTAAATGAAACAAATACTACTGAGACTCAAACCCGTAAGGCAACAGAAAGAAAATGAATTTTTCTTTCTTAGTATGGAAGTTTAATATACAAAAAAAAAAAGAAAAAAAAAATTGGAAGTTATGACAACAGATAAATTAACAAATACTTTTGAAGCAATTTCCATGCCAAGTATGAAACAAAAAAAAATCATTCCTGTATTTGAAAAATGCATGGAGAAATTCATTGCTTTGCAAAAAAAATAAAGCTATTCTCCAAATCAATTTTGCTGCTATTGCTTGGTTCACCCCTAATTAACAACCAAAAATGTTGGCAGAGACTTTTCGACACAACTTTATGATATTAAACGATATATTGTGAGAAGGCTCCTCAAACGTTCATCTCTGATAGTGGCACCAGAAGAAAAGCCATTTAGTTAAAAACAAAATTTTCAGCTAACTAAGCCCCCATTTCATTATACTCTAAACTCCGAAACTGAAGATAATTTCTTTACTAAGCAAAATAACATGTAAAATTTTTTGGTTTTAAAGATTACAAAAAAACCAGAAAAAGACAACCAAGTGCCATTAAAGACAACAATTAATTTCAAATTTCTCAAATGCCAAATAAATTTCCAATAGTTTGTACTCTATGACAGTCTAGCATATATACTGCAACTTCGCGAAGCTTCTCAAGTAAATGGAAGAAGAAACCATACAAGGGCCCGTGAAATTAGAAATGTCATAACAACAGGAAGGTCCTTTGTCCTCAAAACATCAGCAGCAGAATGCAATGCCAATGCTATTCCTTGTCTGCCTATCCAGCCAGCATCAACATTGGCTTCATAAGATCCAGCATCGCGGATATATAAAGAAAATAAAGTAGATAGAGACTCCTGCACATATCACAAATTTTAGAAAGCAACGCTGTTCAGAAGCATGGCACTTGACTATTTCTTTATAGAAAAAAGAATTAGTAAAGAAAAAGAATCGATATAAAAAAATGGAGGATTAGATATCCTCCCAGAAAACATAAAAAATTAAAAAAAGGAGAACTAGTTCACCTTGACCAAGACAGGTGTTTAATCTCTTTCCAACAAAGACAGAGTAATCTCAAAAACCATGCAATTAACTATCAGACTGACCTGTATAGAATCTGGATTTTCATCCAATGCAGCAGCTAATGCCTCTGCCGCAGCCAAGCGAACATTATAGTTTATATGAGAAAGTGACTTAAAGATTCCTGAATAGTCAGACCCTAAATCATGCCCATAGCGATCCCATATATCCTCTGCAGCTTCTGCAACTGCCTGCATACACAGCGGACAGAGATGCATATGACACACATTATAAGCTGAACAACCAATAAATTCCAATAATTAAGGACATAACGCTATCCTACACTAGTTTCATTTAAGAAATCAGCACTTGAAATATGTAAACAATCTAGACTCCCAGTTCAAAAGGATTCTCAGCATCAAACTTGAATTATCCATACAGCCAGAACCAAAAAATTCAAGCAAAAAGGTATAGAATTAGGTTAGAAATAACTATTAAAGACCTGACTGCCAAATACTACACTTTGACAACCTACTGAAGGAGAAAAAAGACTGAATATCAGAAAATAAAAAGAAAAATAAATAATAATAAACACCCTTCAGAGATTCAAGAGCAAGTGCTAGATTTCAACAAAAAATAGTTTAGTGTCAGAAAAGGTTTAGTCACCATAAACTAAATGTAGCACAGGCAACTCAAACAGCATTTTTATGCTCACAGAAGCACAGTGTCTTCGAAACAGAATTTTACATGTATGAAAAATTGACGAAGCTAAACCTTTTCTGGATCATGCAAAGCAATCCAAATGTTTGTTCCAATTTCAGCACTCTTGGGAAGAGAACGATTAGAAACAGCAGGAATACATTTTATAGCATTTATGCATGCCATTCTCACATGGATCTCCTTTGCATAAACTCCATATAGGGCCTGCAAGAATGAATTAGGAGAGACATCATTATCAAAGAACACTTCGGAACAGTTCAAAAGAAATGTGAAATATATACCGAGGCAACTTCATCTGGTTGCAGGCCAAGACATATTTCATTTAATGCTGGTCCAATAGATGCTTGATAAGCTGGAACAATACCTAAAACATGATAAAGAGCCTGCACAATAGAAGGAGAATAGTATGACATAAGATAAATTCACCTCTCTGCCCCTCAACCAAAATCACCCAAAAAAGGGACAAAATGTGGATGAGGTTACAAATATGTACTGTAAAACATTTATAGTGTTTAGATATGCAACCGATAACATTTGGAGCCTAGGAAGTGGTAGAAGAGGATCCATGTGCAAATAAAGAATTTGAAGCACATCATCATGAAGTCCTGTCCTCTTAGGTGATAACAAAACCCGCTCCATTATCTGATGGCAAATATATATGAGAGCTACGTTAAAGAATCTGGTGCATAAAAGAACAAACAAAATCACAAATGTCAAATACAAAAGCTCACCGGAAAGACAAAAGTAAAGGAGTCTACAGGAAGGGGCCCAGATTTACATGAGACGGATAAGCCATTTACTACTCTCTCAAAAAGTCCCAACGATGTTTTGCATCAGTTTCCTCTTCATCACAGTGAATCAGTCACAGCGATGACATCATCTGTCACAATTAGCGTAAGCAGTAGCATATCAGG